CAGCCCAAGTTACCAACCTGCGTCAATACAGGGAGATTACTCAAACAAGATACATAACAAAAAGTTCGAAATAATCGTAGTATCAGTGATATTGAAATACCACATATTGCAGAATAAACCAGTTATATCCAACGTATAACCTGATGCGTGTTCATCGGCTTCAGTTGTCACATCCAACTAGTACATCGAGATGAAATTGTCAAGGTAAATCCTAGAGTAGTAACAATATTAAAGTAATAAAAGAGACTAGGCATAGATAATACGGTTCGAGAAGAAAATATGGATTAGTGGAATAAGGAGGAAAGAGGGGATCCTTTTGTAAGGTAATTTAGAAACTTAAGATCTAAAAGAAGGCAAATACAACGCACCTGACCCACTTGTAATTTTGAGCTATATCACCTGAAGCATCTAACCATTAGTTGCGATAACTGCGTCGACCCCAACCAAACGGTCTACACCTATCTACATGGTTCAGTCAAACAGTCAATATCTTCATGGACTAATGCCACCTGCTTGTTTGCCCTTCTCTAGCTCTCAGCCTAATTTTATGCCGGGTAGCATTGTTTATCAAGCTAGGCAGTGACTTGAGAAAACGGCTTCAAAGACATCTATAGTCTAATACTAGTAGCTTTCAATTTGGTCTACCATCCCAAACTACGTTTCACGGCATTGCGATGGCATGCGTTGGGTTGCTGTATAGCATACTTATCCATCCGTTGAAAATTAAACATCTCGTCTATGCCACAAGCTAGACCATTCGGTAAAAGCTAAGGGATTTTTATGGACGCATACCAACAGCCCCTCGAAGCTGGCGGGGTTTACGAAAATAGATAAACCAATCAACATACCTAACTACCATCATCGCTTATGATCGGCCTGACACAGACCAATCCTAAAGCAACATTCTGCATTAAGAGGTAGATAAGCGCTTTTGCGCTCTCCAATATGTTTAGAAGACTATATCCAAACCAAATAATACTCATCCGTATATTTTGAATAAGTAAGTCTCCTGTTAAAAGTTATCTAAATAGTTATTTCTGAAATAATGTTTATTTTGAAGTTAACTGAAAATGGAAGACGTTAATTATGACTAACACCAGTTTCAGTTCTTAATTCTGTCGCAAGTTCACCGATTCGACTTTATATATGTTTACATATTTAAAACCCAATTATGTACTTCGAAGCGGTGTTTCAATGAGCGTGCGATAACGTTTGTGTGATCGAAATGTCGAAACTGGTGTTACTTGTGGGAGAAGTCGAAGAAAAAGGAAAAAAACTAAACAAATGTTTCAATTGTTGACACATTTACCTTAAAGATATGAGGGAATCTGTTACTTCCTCGTAGCCCACAAAGCTAAAGAATACTTAATAAATCTGAAGGTGAAAATGGGTTAGAGATAGTTTTTATGACTTTCCAACGCGAACACAAAGTCCAAGGAATATCTGCTTGCAGCCGGCCACATATAGATTTTTATGGTGTAGATTTTGGTGTTTTGGGTCAGTAATTTTCAAACCTTACTGCCTAAAAGAATCCGTGTGATTAACCTTTTCCGATCTCCTCTTCCTCCTGTTGTGGGAAGCTAGCAACCGTGGAGATGCGAGTTTTCCAAGGGAAAAACCCTAATATCATCTATCCCTGAATGAACGGTCGCCCTCAGACCATGATGCCTCTGCTTTCTGCTTCCCAACTGACCTAGTGTTTAAAGCAAGAACTAAAGAAATAGGTATTTTTGGCCATGCTCCATCACTACGTCAAGGTATTAGTTGTATTTCCCCGGCGAGAGGGATATTACCATTGGAGCACACAAACTTCGTATTTATGAAAATGTAAGTCTGTGTTTTAAGCCTCTGGTGCACCAAATTTCCGAGGGCATCATAGTTTAAATGAAAGTGAGAAACTATCTGCATATTGTCTAAGTAAAATTTCATGGTGCTCTTGTTTTTGTTAATAACGCATCCTTTTTTCAATTTCAGAAAATCATGCGCCGTTTATAAACAACTTGTTACTGGAGGCAGTCATCTCTCTGTCTTTCGTCGTCGAGGTTTGACTTTGTCTAAATCAAGTATTAATGATGATTCTGAAAGTATTACTAAAGAATCAGTTAGTTCTAGCGAACATCTGCTTGATATGTCAACTAATCCCAAAGATGCTTCTACTGTAAATCTAATTGGTGGAAATGATTTAACTTCCTTAGTTTCTTCATCTTCTACACCCGAAGTTACTCCCCAGTCTAATGCAGACCCTAGCATTGATGTATTTGGAAATCATTCTGATTCCCTTCAAACCTCTCTAACCTACATAACTCCAGTTTCATCTCTAGCCACATCTGTCCCGACTTTCGTTTCCAATGAAAATATTGAAACAAATAATCTAAATCATGTATCTAGTAATTCGATGGTCACATCTGCCTCTATAATTCATGCATTAAGTCAAACTTCTAATTTGTCCGTATTAGTTGACACACGTTGCCCTGTCAGTAATTATCCTTCAAATCAGATAAATGAATGCACCGCCACTAATGCGGAAGGTGGATTTATCCAATGTGTATCATCAAAAGGTGAACCACTTATCATGTTTCCTGGTATGTAATTTTAAAAACTTAAATGCATAATTTTACTCTCCGGTCACCTATATATATATATATATATATATAATATGCATACCGCAACACTCAGTTGAAAATTTCAAGAAATTAAAAAGCTTTAAAACTACTTTCACAGTATATCTTTCTGTCTTATACGTAAGAACGAATTAATTTATTTTCCTTTCTTATTGATTTTTTTTTCATGTAACTTCTGTGTATAAAGTTGTCTTTTATTATGCCATTTTGTTTAAATTATCGCTTCTATCTTCCAATATATGCATTGTTCATGAAGGAATAAATGTCGTCACAAGTTTGTAACAATTTAGATTTCGTGCAAATATAATATATGCTTTTCTTTAAGAAATCTTAACCTATAGACAAAGTCTGCAATACTTATCATGTTTTTCAATTGAGCAAAAAATTCATGTTTTTTAATTGTACAACTTTAAAAAGAACACATTTAGGCTTTAATTAAGCTGACATCTTTTAATGTTAATTTATAAAAAACATTTGTCATTCAATTTGGAAACTTTCTTACATAAATAGATCATGTTTTGTAAATTGATTGACGACTAATTAAATGACAATGTGAACGAGATAGTATTTAGTAAAAAAATATGTTATTTATACGCACATATTTCGGCCTAAAGCACTTGTTAATTTCGTCAGTCGTTAACCAAATAATATAATGAGAAGGGGTTTTTTGAAGATTTCAGAAGTTTCAATAGCTGAAATCATGAGCCAATTGGAGCTAGACCACCATGGAAAACCTGGAAGCACTGGGAAACCGTTTCGTCTTAGTATGGGACTCCTCAGCAGTGGGTTCGGATCTCGTGGGGGACGAGTTTGGGTTTCACAATTTTCGCTACGTGGAGACACTTCCGGTCAACTGCTTAAACATTCAATGCATATTCGCTACAGAATTATGTTAACATAGAGTTGAATTCCAAATGGATTAGTCATTTGTGATTCCTTTGACCGTCATACCGATTGTATGTTCAATTGATACAGACAAACTGAATACAGATATCGATGTTGTACAGTCATCGTATAGAGGTACTTAATTGCTGATTTTGGATAAGTTGTTTTCTTGACACGTCTCGTATGAACAGCTAGCTCCTCAACAGTAGTTTAAGCACAAGCCATACACGTAAGTTGATTCCTCGCCATATTAAATAATGTAAAGATGATTCATGGAAGTATCCACCATGCTCTTATTGACATTTAGTTTCTTGATACTCGTAATTAGGTGAATATATATCCAAATGATACAAACAACACATGTGTATCACAGTCTTCTCACCATATCTCAATTTCATTTTGAGTGATTACACGGCATCATATTGATCGTACATTTGCGGCGTGGTGATTGTGTGCCTACTGTTGGTTTTTTAGTAAATAAAAGACTTTTCAAGTCAAATAAGTTTATCAGTAAGAAAATTTCTTGAGGACTAATCTTCAGTGAGTATTCCTTTATTATTGACCGATGATGGAAAGGACTTTCGAATCTAATAAACATCGAAAAACTATAAGCCTAAACTCATTCTCAACGTTTGGTAAAGACTTATTTGAACGTTTGGTGGATGCCATTGCTTCCAAAATGACTAAGGTAATTGTGTGAATGCAAATCCGAAATTGTACAATAACAAATTTTCAAATTAATTTTTACTAAAAAACAAAACAGGTGGTCAGTAAAAATGTTTCCGATTGCATAGACGATGTTCAGGAAAAAGGACTCACAATCGATGGACAGAAAGTGTGTTTTTATGTAGTGCCAAGTTCCAGATAACTTACTCGTCTAAATCAGGATCATTGGTTAGTTTCACTAGGCGATGTAGTCATTATGAATTAAAATTCTATAAAACATATTTCCTTGGATGTACAGAATGATTCCTAGTTGTTTTTAAATCAGGTTTAACGCTATCGATAGTTTTGACAGAGATTGCCTATAGAAATTTACCGTAAATCTCATTTATTATCTATAACTATTAGCAGTCTAGTTTAAATCTTCATAATTTTATCAGTTATGTTAATTTTCATACCTTATTTAATCCAACTCATTTAATTAGACAATTTATCAGTTGCTATACGATAGGGAAAATATTCCTAACTATTTAAATCCTCTGTAGATACAGCTTTTTAATCGTATCTCTGTGAAATAAAGTATACGGAAAAACACATTAAGACTACTTTATGAACATATTTTTAAATACAAAGGTAAATCTTAAGAAGATAACAATTAGCACTGACGAGGCTCCCCCCCCCGAAAACTACAAAGAAACTGCTATCTGATTATTTGAAGGTTCTTCAGCTAGTATCAGTACGTGAAAAAAAGCTAATTCACTCTTCAACAAGGTAAATGGGAATTTCATCACAATAATCATACGATAAATAGTTTTCAAAACATCCTAGAAATAATAAGAAAAAACTATTGTATTGATAAAACAGAAGTATTAAGTTTATTGAAATAGATAAAATTATTATTAGGTTAATAGTGTTTCTCAGAATTATTGTTGCAATCAACATTTACGAATATTTGCTGATATCACCAGGATTGTGACAAACTGAAAATGAAAACAGTGTAAATACATTGAAGAAAAAAACAGAACATTTGAACACAGTGTATAAGTTTACGTATAGACAGTTGTATACACATAGGTAGGTATATTAAATAAAAGTAAAATTGTTGTACATTAATCCTATTGTAAAATTGAAATACGTAATATGTTTGTGTGTTATCAATCAGAAAAAAAAACAATGATATCATTATTGTTTTCCATTTAATCCCATTTCATTGATCAATGTGACTTTTTGAACTTTTTTATCAAAACTATCCAGATTATAAACACGTAACATTTCTTCACGTAGACATTCAGCTGCTAACGCCAAATTTCTTGACTACGAAAAATAAATAAACAATGAACAACTATTATTCACTGTAACAATTTATATGGTAACTTGTGATTTAGTGATATTATTATTGTTGATTATTTTGTGCTAAAAAATAAATAAAGAGAACTCTTACCAATCATTAGTGTGGCAAGTGATACAAATTTTATGATTGTCAGTTGTGTTTTTAACACATCGTTATAATTTAAAACAAGATCATTATATAGTGTATTTAATGGTATTGATAATGACCTGTCTAATTTAGATGCTATTTTCGGATGGAAAAGAATTCTAATTTACGCTGATATAGAAGGAATACCAAATAGAGTTGATTTTAAATTGATGATTGCTTATTAAGATATTGCTGAGGTTCAGTAACTTAAAACATAGGTAACAGGTTTATAATGTTATCTAACTATGGACTGCGGAATACAATCGCGTTTCTAACCCAGATACACATTTTGAGAAAAGTCAATCAGTGCACAGGCACCATGGGTTTATTTCCTTACACAAGTATGTTGTATCAGACCATTGTTCTTTGTATAACACCTCAGTTAATTTATGTACGAATATTAGGTCACTAGTTTATAGCTTATTAAAAGCATATAATCAGAGTACATTATGCTGAACTATTTTAAGAGCCAGTCTAACAAAATTAGTTCTGTTTAACTTTCCTAAAGTATTTCCGAATGAGTATAAGTATGGTGGACGTGAAACGCATGGTCAGAACTAACGGGTTTTATCAAAAATTCTTTAAACAACCCTTCATCTTAGTTTATTTTTGGTGGTTATTATTATTGGGGTTACTGTTGGGAAATTTATTCTTGGAAATTCAAGGGTTGAAAAAAGGTAACATGCCCGGTATGTCTAACCAAACTGTAAAAAAATAGCGAGGTTGATATGTCTGTTATAGATAACTTGCAAGAATCATTTGATGTGATCTATCCGGAATCGTGTGAAGATTTTAAACATGTATTTAACTAGCTAATCCCCGTACTGTCCAGGAACTCGTAAATCTCCTAACCAGGTAGAGTTTAATGTTATCCCAGTGTAAACTAACGAATCAATTGTGAAGTACTAATATACCTTCCAGGAGTTAGGTAAATGTGTAGAATTAAAGGCTACATTTATTATAATGAAAACAATACTCACTTGCTGAATCCTAGCTTCTTTTTCTTCAGTTAGTCGACGTATGTGTTCATCTTTCTGTCGTAAAGCTAATTCAGCTGCCTTTCGTACTTCTTGTTCTCTGCGTTGTATTCTTTTAATAATAATAATAATCAAAGTTTGCGGTTAAACATAATTTACAAAATAAAAAAACGTTTTTGTTCACTGAAATGGTGAGTCCAGAAGACGTTAAGATTACCACCATTACTTTCCTATATGTAGTATATGGTATCCCAAAACGTGAAATGATAAATCTAATTTGATTTTATTTAATGTTTAAACTTAATTTCACTAGCAAAATACTTATTAAGTAATTTACTATTATTCTGAAATTTGGTAGTGAGCAGTTACCAATATCCTATTTATCTAGCCCTTGGCATCAGCCGAACTCTACCAGTCAAGTCGCGTTGTGTTTACTTAACTTCCGACTTTAAGTGGTTGGGTTTAAAATTTTCTAATATCTTAGTTTTTAAATAAGAATGCAATTTATTATTGTCTTATTTCTGTGGTGAAACTCTTAAAATTCTACATTGTAAGTAGTAATGGTTAGCAAACTCATGAATAAGTTCACTTGATAATATGAATTTGTTACTTGCATTTTCTGTACAAATTATGATCATTACTGGGAAGGCGTATGTTCGTTATGTATTCTGATGAACTTAATTACTCCTGTTACTCCTCATGAAGGAACATAGGCCACTCACCAGCATTCGCCATCCAACCGTGTCCTGGGCAATCCTTTCCAGCTCCTTCCAGTTGTTATTCATCCTTTCCATATCTGCTTTTATTTCCCGACGTAATGTGTTCTTTGGCCTTCCTCTTTTCCGCCTTCCTTCAGGATTCCAAGTTGTCGCTTGCCTCTTGATGCAGTCTGATGATTTCCTCAATGTATGTCCTATCCACTTCCAACGTCTTTTACTAATTCTCTCTTCAGTTCAAAGCTGGTCTTTTCTCTCCAACAGTTGACTGTTGTTGATGGCATCCGGTCAACAGACATTGATTATCTTGCGTAGACAATTGTTTGTAAATATTTGTACTTTTTCGATTATGGTTGTAGTAGTTCTCCAAGTTTCAGCTCCGTACGGTAGAACTGTTTTGACGTTCGTATTAAAGATTATGACTTTGATGTTGGCTTTTTATTTTGAGTTTTATATGTTATACAACTGTAGGAATGCTGTCCTTGTTTTATCAATCCTCGCCTTTACGTCTGCATCAGATCCTCCTTGTTCATCGACTATGCTTCCCAGGTATGTGAAGGATTCTACATCTTCCAGAGTTTCGCCATCAAGAGTGATTGGATTGCTGTTCTCCGCCTTGAATTTGAGGACCTTGGTTTTCCCCTTGTATATACTGAGGCCTATTGATGCAGAGACTGCTGCTACACTGGCTGTCTTTATCTGCATTTGTTCATGTGTATGCGATAAAAGGGCCAGGTCATCTGCGAAGTCCAAATCGTCTAATTGATTCTGAGCTGTCCATTGTATTCCGTGTTTTCCTTCAGATGTCGAGGTCTTCATAATCCAGTCGACCACCACAAGAAAGAGGAAGGGAGAGAGTAAACAGCCTTGTCTGACTCCAGTCCTTACTTGGAATGTATCTGTCAGCTGTCCTCCATGCACTACTTTGCACTGTAGTCCGTCATATGAGTTCCGGATAATATTGTCAATCTTCTCAGGAACTCCGTAGTGTCGAAGAAGTTTCCATAATGTCCTCCTATCTGCACTGTCAAATGCCTTTTCATAGTCAATGAAGTTGATGTATAGTGACGAGTTCCACTCAACTGATTGTTCGACGATGATCCGTAGTGTTGCAATTTGGTCTGTGCACGACCGATCCTTACGGAATCCAGCTTGTTGATCTCGAAGTTGGGCGTCTACTGCATCTTTCATCCGATTCAGCAAAACTCTGTTAAAGACTTTTCCTGGTACTAGCAGTAGTGTGATGCCTCTGTAGTTTTCACATTTGCTCAGGTCTCCTTCCTTTGGAATCTTGATGAGGTGTCCTTCTTTCCAGTCCATCGGCACTTGTCCCTCCTCCCAAATCTTTCTGAATATAAGGTGAAGCATGTTTGTAGTTACTTCGATGTCTGACTTTAGTGCTTCAGCTGTTATATTGTCGGGTCCTGCTGCTTTCCCGCTCTTGATTTGTCTGATGGCCATTCTGATTTCTTCCGTCGTTGGTGGACTGACATCTATAGGAAGATCTGTGTGCGCTGATTCGATGTCCGGTGGATTCATTGGAGCCGGCCTATTCAGGAGTTCCTCGAAGTATTCTACCCATCTGTTTCGCTGTTGTTGAATTTCAGTGATTAGCCTGCCTTCTTTGTCCTTGACCGTTCTCTCTGGTTTACTGTATTTTCCTGATAGTTTCTTCGTTGTTTCGTAAAGTTGTTTCATATTTCCTTCCCTTGCAGCATTTTCCGCAGTCGTTGCTAGTTCTTCCACGTATTTCTGCTTGTCGGCTCTAATGCTTTTCTTCACTTGCTTGTTTGCTTCTGTGTATTCAGCTTGTGCTTGGACTTTCTCTGCTCGTGTTCGGCTGTTGTTAATTTCTGTCTTCTTGTTCTTCCTTTCTTTGATCCTGTCCAGTGTTTTTATAGAGATCCATTCCTTATGATGGTGCTTCTTTAGACCCAGAACCTCTTGACAAGTTGAAGTTAATGCTTCTTCGATTCTTTTCCAGTTGTCCTCCATAGTAGTTTCTTCTTCCTTCTGATGAAGGTAAAACACTAAAAATATGTTCGATATCTACGATTTTGAGAGTAAATGTTTGATGAACAACTATCCTCACTGTCAATTGGAGAATATTAATATATTACTGAGAAGGACATCTAAATGAGATAAAAATATGAATTCTTCGATGATTTTCTTTTTAACTTTCAAGAACATTGAAAATATGCTTTCAAAGAAACAGGTGTGTCGATGATTGGTCTTTGTTTGGTCACGCCGAAATTCCGTTGGCGCTTATATAATCACCATGACTTAATGAGAAAAACGTTGAAGCAATAGTAGTAGGTAGCATAAAAATTCGAATAAATAAGTACTACATTCAGATCAGTAGCTTGCCCAGATAATTTGCTGAATTTACAATATAATAGTTCTTTGTAAAAGAAAAACATAAACATACATTGGGCCATGCTAGTTCGGAGTCTTATTCTTGATATGAAAAGTAACTGCGTTAGTAAGTGATTGATACCGTTGAATTCTACTAAATTATCTTACAAATTCAATTTTCATTAAAACTTGCTTCGCTTACGCCTGTTGCCCCTCACGAAGGAGTATAGGCTGCTCATTTCACTAAAACTACACAGAATAATTTACAAATATTTATCGATATACCTAATGATTTTTCAATTGATGTTAATCAGTTATAAAACTCAACTTCCATTAAATGACAATATATTTCAACTAACTCTTTTGTATTTTCTTCAACTTGCATTTGTTTTTGTCTTCGTTCTGAAGCTAATCTTTTCTGTTCTTCTGATAATCTACAGGATACATGTTCCATAGCTCTTTGTATAGACTGTACATTCAAAAATAATGAAAATAAGTTGGATGGGTTGCACAAACTCAGAGATACTAGTTATATTTTCAAATATCTATCCAATGTGAAAAGAAATTACAGACTTTATATAAGCAATGATGGATACTGGCTAGCAGTAGAATCCAGGACGCGCGTTTCGTTTTATTTAAGACTCGTCAATTGCAGTCTTAAACCTCAATGGGAAGATGCAAGCCAAACAATACCAAGCGAATTGAAATTATAGACGTTTCACTGATTTTAACGTTCACAAACAAAATTTCGGTAGTACATGTATTCCTTAATTCACGTGTTTTATGACTACATAAAACTCAATCGTTCCGTACCTCCAAAATTTCTTCTGAATAATTCTGAAATACTCAGAAAATCAGTGATTCTCATCGAACTAGGATACTTCATAAAAACGCTTCAGTCGTTTTAGATAATAAGTTCTGTATTATTAGAAGGCTGAGAAGTTCATCGGAGCGTTTTCACTCAGATCACGACCAAATGACTGAAAACCGATAAACGTATCTATCGTTGGATTAATTTGATAAATGATCAAGGATAGGTATTTTCTAATTATGGCGTCATTTTTTCAAAACTCCGCCAGGAGCCTCCCCGGATCTACTGCCGGTCCCAAGCCCGAATAAAGGAGAAGGGTTGGGTATGGGGTTAGCAACCCCTTCCCGTAGAAAACTAACTCGCTAAAAAACGCTAATCAGATAAAATAATTCAAACCATCTATACTCTGCCCTGGGAGTTAGAAGGTCTTCATTTAGAAGAGTTATGACGCCTCATTATGAAAGCCTAGTTCCTTTGGAATTCACGAAGCTGGTGCTCCTCCTGACAACCAGAGCGATCGTTAATTTAGGTACATGGGATGCTCGTACAGTGTGGGAGACAGGGAGAGATATTTTTTCAAAGAGACTTCAACTAGATTAGTAGCTGAGTTAATTGATTTGATTATAACTTCAAATCATTAGATAAATCGTACGTACAAATAATTTAAAGCATTTTTACCTATTAATATAATTATAAGTTAAAAATTCACTATTAATTTCATTGGTTATTTCAATAACCGTAAAAGGACGTTTAGTTTAATTGTTATTTAGATAAATTTCAATCTTCCTAATCCACTCACTGTTAGGTTAAAAGCTGCAAACTAGATATTTCAAACAAAATTTTATAATCACCAGTTATTACGTAACAAACAAGATAGACTGTTAGCTTACTTCTGAATATTTTTGATCACGGCATCTTTCCGAAAATTTAATTGATACATTTTAATGTCAAGAATTTCAATTCCAGAATACTGAATAATAGGTTTACTGGTCGCTACATTTGATGATCAAGTACATATACATGGATTTTAAATGTCTAGAATATGTCGTCAATCTGGATGGATTTCCTAGCAAATATTATTTTATAAGCAAAGATGGATAGTGGCTAGCAGTGGAATTCAGGACACGCGTATCGTCCTATTTGTGACTCGTCAGTTGGATGTATTTGTATCTCAGAGTTGACGTTCACTTTGGGACTCGGACCCAGTACCGTTTGATTCACACGCCATCACGTTATTCACTATCCATCTTTGCTTATGACCTAAGGCAATATCGAGGCAGTCTGCACAGGATGCATATATGTCAACAAGAGACTGATCAATTGCAGTCCTAAATAATAATGAGAAGATACAATTAGACAACACCAAGTGAATTATTTTAATATTATTTTATTTACTATGTAGATTTTGTCTTATTCTCATGATAAATGTGATATCAGGTAGTGGAAGCGTTGAATGATATGATTCGAAATCAATTACGTTGTCGTAAATTCATTCACTTATAATCCTTTTTTTCGAACAACGAGAAAATGGGAGAATTTCGCCAAAAGGCAGGCTTCCACTCGAGGACAACTATATTTTCTCCATGAGTGTCTTCGCCAGCATGTTCTACCAACAAGTGTAAGATATAGACCTCCAATCAACTGCCCATTAGGATGGAAAATAGCTGAGCAAAGTGGGAGAAAAATGGTACACCTAATGATAACGGATGCAGTTTCAGTATTTCTTCAATCATTTTCAGCTGTTTTTTCTTAAACTATATTCTTAATTTTAAGTTTTTCTCATTATCAATTCTATTATAATTATTTCGACTACTTTACTGTCATCCTTTACTACTGATTTTAAAAGACAAATTGAGCTAACACGTATTTATGTCAGGCTGCATATTGAATATTACTGGCTGCCCGACTTTTATTTTATTGATAAGAGGTCGTTATTAGAAATGTGATTAAATGCTATTAAATGACAAAACGTCGATGAAATTTCGTATTTATGTTGCCCATATGAATAATATCGTTAAGTATTTCGATAATGTTGGCTTACTTGTTCTCGAGCTTCGTACAGTTCTTTTCTATATTCTTCAATCATTTTCCTTAATTGTTTTCTTCTTTCTAGAACTTGACGAACTTTTCTTGCACGTTCATAACTGAAAAAGTTTTCAATTATGGTTAAGAAGCACCAAGTTTCCTGTCAATCTGTCTGGTGCGTTTAATTAAAAAACATTTCTAATACTACCTAGAGATAAAGTGGGCAGGTTGCTGAACCTCTAATAAGGGATGTAAAATGTTTTAGTTACGTTTCTGGCTCCTTAGCAGTATGCAATATCAGTCTACATAAAGTCAAACTTAAGAGGTTCAGTGGTTTGTAACTGATATAGGCCCTCTTGAAAAACGACCCAATCTGAACTTTAGAAACAACTTAGTTTATACTTTGATCATCTGATGGAACAATGATTACTAATTACGGTTTTAAATTAGTCAGAGCACAAATACTTTACAGAAAAGTATTTGAAAGTGTGATCATACAACTACAATTCTAACTATACTTTAGTGAATACATAAATAATGTTTAGGTAGTCAAGTAAATTTGGCCAGTACTTATGGACTGTTTATCTTTATCATATCGTTCTTCAGTAACTAATTGACTTGGTAGGAGACCTTATTCATGCACAATTTTTATCAGTATAGGGTTATGAAGAATGTTGAATTTTATTGTGATCGTGAACCGATCCAAATTAAACAACCAGTGAAAATTTGGAAGCGCTAGGCAGCCACTTTGTCCTGGTATGGGATTCAGCAATGGGCACTTACGACTCCGTAACCGGAGATCAAACCCAGAATCTTGAGTCTCACGCTCAACTTCTAGACCACTGAGTCGGGATTCAATGGAGCACAGATTTGACTCCAATTAATCCGTGACATTAGTCGTGCGATATTGTAAAAATGCTGAGCGACTTACAAAAAAATCGTATATTCTTTCAAAAGTATGAATCATGACAAAACAACCGATTCGATAATATTCTAGGATGACTGAAGTGAAGAGTCTGATTACTCGATTATGGACGGGAACCACGAGTTCAAATCCAAACAATTTTCAGAAGACATAACTATTTTTGAAAGAACTGTATGTATAATTTGGAGATTAAAAGTATTGAATATTAACAAGAATGAAGTAAGAAGTCTAAGATTACTACCTAATACCTTCAACCACTTAACATTAATAGCGACAATGAGTTTTGTATCTTTTTAAAATTCCAATGAATATTGATTGGAAAACCATCATATATATTCGTATAATTACGTTTACTCATCTATGAAACTTACTGGGCCGTAATCATATTTCTTTCTTTTTCTTTCAAAATTTGATTTCTGTGTTTTTCAACTTTGTTTAGCTTCTCTTCATAACATTTTTGTGCACGTTCTCTTTCATCACTATATCAGTTACAATAGTAAAAATAATCATTATTGTTCTATTATCACGTAGTTCATATATGCAATATCTAAATATTAAGCCGATGATTTTAAAACTTTTACCACCTACTTCGGTTCAGATCATAATGAATGGATATCTATCCAAACTCTGAGAAAGATTCGAGAAAAGAAGACAGCAATTAACAACAGCCGAACAAGAACAAATTTCAAGATTAACAAGATCTACTCACAGGAAAAGAAACTACTATGGAGGATAACTGAAAAGGGATCAAATAAGCACTAACTTCAAAGTGTCAGGAAGTACTGGGCCACAAGGAGCATCATAATAAGCAATAGATTTCTATCGAAACCCTGAAAAGGATTCAAGAAAGAAAGAAAAAGAAGACAGAAATTAACAACGGCCGAACAAGAGAAAAGAAAGTCAAGGCACAAGCTAAATACACAGGAGCAAACAAACAAGTGAAGAGGAGCATTAGAGTTGACAAGCAGAAATACTTGGAAGAGCTAGCAACGACAGCGAAAGAAGCTTCAAGAGAAGGAAACATGAAACAACTTTATGACACAACGAATAAATTGACGGGGAAATATAGTAAACCAGAGAGACCAGTCACGTAAAAAGAAGGTAATTCAATCATTGAGATTCAAGAAAAGACGAACAGATGGGTAGAGTACTTCGAGGAACTCTTAAATAGACTATTTCCATTGAATTTACCGGATATTGAAGTAGCACCTACAGACCTCTCTATAGAAGTCACTCCACCAACGACGGAAGAAATCAGGATGGCCATCAGACATATCGAGGGTAGGGAAGCAGTAGAACCTGAAAGTATACCGACTGAAGCATTGAAGTCAGATATAGAAGCCACTGCAAATATGCTCCACGTTCTATTTAGGACGATTTGGGAGGACGAACAAGTGCTAACAGTCTGGAAAGAAAGATATCTCATCAAGATGCCAAAGAAAGGAGATCGGAGTAAATGTGGGAACGACACAGGCATCACACTACTGTCAGTACCAGGAAAGGTTTTCAGCAGTGTTGCTGAACCGGATGAAATAGCAAGTAGACGCCCAACTTTGTGATCAACAGGACAGATTCCGTAAGAATCGATCGTGTACAGACCGAATTGAAACACTACGGATCATTTTTAAACAATCGTTTGAATGGAACTCGTCACTATATGTCAACTTCCTTGACAGTGTGGATAGGAGAAGCTTATAGAACCCTCTTCGACGCTATGATGTAACTGAGAAGATTGTCACCATCATACGGAACTCTTATGATGGATTACACTGCAAAGTCATTCATGGAGGGTAGCTCACAGATGTATTCTAAATGAGGACCGGAGTCAGGCAAAGCTGCCTACTCTCCTCCTTTTCTCTTTCTTCTGGAGGTTGACTGGATTATGAAGATCTCCACATTTGAGGGAGGGCACGGAATACAATAAGCAGCTTGTACGCAACTAGGCGATTTAAACCTCATAGATAACCTGGCTCTTCTATCCCACACAAACCAGTAAGTGCAGGTCAACATAATCACTGTAGCAGCGGCCTTCGCATCAGTAGACATCAACATACACAAATGAAAAAGCAACATCCTCAAACACAACACAGAGAACATCAACCCAATCACACTCGATGGAGAAGCTCTGGAAAAGGTGGGGTCTTTCACGTACCTGAACAGAATCATCGATGAACGAGAAGGATCTTATGCAGACGTAAAGGCAAGGATTGGCAAAGCATGGTCTGGATTCCTACAGTTGTATAGCATAAAAAGCCAACATCAAAGTCATAATTTTTAATGCGAACGTCAAAACAGTTCTACCGTACGGAGCTGAAACTTGGAGAACTACTACAACCATAATCGAAAAAGTACAAATATTTACAAACAATTGTCTACGCAAGATAATCAATGTCTGTTGACCGGATGCCATCAACAACAGTCAACTGTTGGAGAGAAAAGACCAGCTTTGAACTGAAGAGAGAATTAGTAAAAGACGTTGGAAGTGGATAGGACATACATTGAGGAAATCATCAGACTGCATCAAGAGGCAAGCGACAACTTGGAATCCTGAAGGAAGGCGGAAAAGAGGAAGGCCAAAGAACACATTACGTCGGGAAATAAAAGCAGATATGGAAAGGATGAATAACAACTGGAAGGAGCTGGAAAGGATTGCCCAGGACACGGTTGGATGGCGAATGCTGGTGAGTGGCCTATGCTCCTCTATAAGGGGTAACAAGCGTAAGTAAGTAACTTCTGTTCAGGGAAGTGAATACTATCTAACAGTTATTATGGTATAAAACTTATTCGATAAATCTGTACAGGATTATTGAGTTGCAGTACTCATGTAGAAAATTGTTGTTATTTTTATTAGCGGTTATCTAGAATAAATATTTTCCAATAAACAGGCATCCCATCATATTTCAAAACTGTTCATATGATAATAAGTCTTGTTTTCATATTATGCAAAAATTAACGTTTCCTACGTGTTGATAATTGTTTATAAAGTCAATCTCTCAATTAAAAATTAACCCATCTACTCTTATTGAGCCATAGGGTTATAATGTAGTTGTACTTAAATCCATATCGTTCATAAAATTTGATAAATGATTGTGTGAGAATAAAGAACTAAACAGAAATGTGATCATTACACCGAGCACAAATTAGTGTGCACATGATAAACAGAAAAGTAATTGTAAAAAGATTTAAACTCCTGTGTTTATGGTATAAACATTCTACTAGTAAGCGGGGTGATATATACACACAAAATATTACTTTTTGCTCATAGAAACCAAAAAAACAATGTTAATTACTTTCATAAAATAGTATTCACAATGAGCTATTACGGCAAGACTACCACGTTTTTCTTCAAATTATTTTCTAAACTTTAATATTTACCCTTTACCAGATATCATTATTAATAAAATACATTTCTCACAAGTTGATAATAGCTAGTGAACGGAGGAATGTTGGACAAGTGTTTCACTGTACTTCTAGATTCCTATTATATAGCCAAGAGTTCAACAGAGATAAAACGCAGCAACGTGAAAGCATAGAGTTGACATTTTAAACTTTTGATAATTTGTGATAAAGAGCAGTCTAAATCCATATTCATCAGTGATTTCTTGTATTTTGCTGTATATTATTAACAAGTTTCTAAATAGGGCAACCTAAACAACCAGTATTCCTTGGTTTCATGTAAAATCTCCATAATAAAAAACCACTTAAACATAGATGATACAGTTAACTACCGAAAGACTAGAAAAATTTGCACATTCGAAATCGATTTTTTTTTAAATAACATCATACTTTTGCATTCGTTCTTGAGTTTGTTTCCGTTTCCAAAACTGTCTTTCTTTATCAAGTGACGAATGTGATGCCCTACGCTAAGAATAAATATACCAATAAATATATACTTCGAAAACAGGGAATATTTAACATATAACATACAATAAATAATTTAAATATATATTCACCAATTAATAAACATCTTTTACTGAGACAATAAATTTATATTTACAAATAATACAACAGAGGATATTTTCATTACTAAACCAACTAAATGATTGTATCCAATATTGATCGAGTATTATGTTCAATAGGAACTATACGTTTTGAGTTTTACAAAAATATTTTTTTCTTCCATTATATAATTCAAAATGAATGTGAGACTTTTCAATTAGTTTTTCATCATGGCTGTACACTAATATATATAATGAAATAATACTCATCGAGTGGATACGTTACATAAATCTTGCCCTCAAATGCCCTGGTATGGCCAAGAGTGAGGTGGGCCCTCCCTCCCTCTCGAAATACCCTCACACGGCCACGCGTATACAGCCTCTGCCAGGGAAGTCCTACTCAATGCATTCTTGTGGAGAGGGTGTTGTTTATGAGATTGAGAGGACGAAAAGCGAATTTCCGGCGCTTTAACCGGGTTGTGTCCACCCAGGGGAGCAGGAAAATCTTGATTCCAAATCAATGGTGCACATGGGCTCCAGTACCCTGAGGGGACAAATGGCGTATGAACCAATCGTTGGCCACCGGCTATCATGGGACTGCATCTCCTCACGATGCTCCACTGCCTTGTGGGTTAGACCTTTAGGTAAAAGGCTCGGGGTGTGGCCCCCTAAGATAACCACCTGCTTCGGTCTGGGCATCCGGGTAGTATACCAGCCCTCACACAATTCAAATGATATATGTGGCACATATCTATTTGGTGCCTCCTTGTACCAATGTTTATGTGTTTAAATAAATAAATAAATTGTATATTCTATATAAATGTATATATTATTGTAGAGCCATGATGAAAAACTAATTGAAAAGAAATTTCTTCGCTCGATTCGTTCCTTCTTTATTTACCAAATGTCAAAATGGAAATTTTCACTATATTGAAAGTAAGATTGATTGAAAAAAGGTTTACAAACTTTATCACAATAAATAAAACGGAATTTCAGTTGAAAACACTTGCCACTACTGTAAAAACCATAAGCATCATCAAGAAAACCGAATAAAAAAACAAATAAAATATATTTGTAAAAAAAGAAATGAAATTATTTTATTGAAAGTTCTTTTTACATATAAATATAAGAGAATTATTAAAAATTAAGGTGTATTGAATAGCTATTTTATTCTAGTATAACAGTTCACAGTAGAGCATGTTCGTTACCTCGTGAAAGATTTTTAAAAAAAGAATTTAGGATCATTAGGTTTTTACGCAGAGTACACGATATTTAGATCAATAGGTTCAAATACAATAGCACACATTTTGTAATATCAATTTATTCTCAGAGTTATGCAACAACATGCCAATATATACATATTTTTTTAAATGTCTGTTTGATGTAGGTTAAAGAATAATTGAAAACCAATGGGTAATAGGTATTATTGGACGAAAGAGTTGTTATTTCTTTAATTGGATAGGTTTCAATACATAACATTTATCTGAAAATAATAACTTGATTGTCAAAATAGAATAACTATCAGAAGGGGTTTGTGAAGATTTTAGAAATTTCACAGATTGAAATCATAAGTCAGTTGAAGCTAGACCACCATGGAAAAACTGAAAGCACTGAACGACCGTTTCGTCCTGGTATGGGACTCCTCAGCAGTGCGCATCCACGATCCCGCACCCCACAGGACTCGGACCCAGGACCTACTGGTTCCGCGCGCGAGCACTTAACCATTAGACCACTGAGCCGGCATCCAACGGTGTTAATGTCTAACTTCAACCAATCCACGAAGTTGCGCCACCATATACCATTGTCTTCAGTGAGCTGATTTCTCACAACAGACCTGGTTGAACTCCACTGGTAACGGCTTCCCACTAGAACTACAAGAGTAGCTTCAACTGACTCATGATTTCAATCTGTGAAAATAGAATAAATTTTAAAATCGAAACTAGAAGAAAGAATAACAGTTGAAATCAAAGGTAAAAGAATAAAGGTTTAAACAAAAGGCCAAGGAAAGATGACAATAATTTATTATTGAATTCATAGTAGACAGTAACAATCTAAAAATGTGCTGACGTCTTATGTTATTCATTCATGACTATCTTTAACAGATCCTTCTCATCTAATATCATACCGAAAATGTGGTGAAAGATGAAAATAATTCCTGTATCCAAGAAATTATCTGGTGATAAGAATGTGAAATTTAGACTTATTGCAATAGCTTCACACTTCCTCAAAACAATCGAAAAATTATTAATACTTCCACTTCAGCTTACGATAAAAGGGCATATTGATCCATATAAGTTTGCTTACAGATGCAAAAGAAGCACCTTAGATGCTGTTGCTGTTCTGCATCACAACATAGTGTTCAACTTAGAAAAGGGGTAGAAGTATGTTCGATGTACTTTTCTGGACTATACTTCAGCTTTTGATTCTATACCAAGACAACGTTTAATTAACAAGTTAATCAGCATCAACACTGAGAGCTAGATAACCAAATGGCTATGTTCCTACCTCTCTGGAAGGGAACAGTACATTATATTTGGAGGAAAGTGTTCAAAGTCTCTACGGTCTCATGAAGGTGTACCACAAGGAGCTGTTCTTTCACCACGTAATTACATTAAAATCCATGCACGCAAGCAAAAGTATAAAAGTTCTATAATACCTTACCTAGCAAATATACTCTGTGACGAACGGGTTGTTAGAGTTAACCTAGCCAATAACCTGCATTCTTAACATGTCTCTAATTTGTAAAGTTGTACAGTTTTTCGGTTTTATTTTTTTAAACCTTTTTTTCCCTTTTTTTGTCTTTGTCACTGTTTTTCTGCGTAAGTAACTTGTTGAAATACCCTGTGCTGAGAATTCTATATTGTACCAAAGTATAATATTGAATAAAGCCATTAATAATAAATAAATAAACAAATAATCCTTCTAGTTAATTCATTTCTGAATATTATTATTTCACGATGCAATCAAAGAACATACTAAGTTTAAATGCAATACATCTTGAAAAGTAATTTACTTAATGTATTTCTATAAGTTTAAAAGGACATATAAGACTTACTGTTAAACGCTGCTCCGTACTTTTCAAATAATTGGAGCTCATTTTATCATGTTGAGATTTTCGGCAAATAGCCGATTGTGGTCTAGATGCCTAAAACATTAAACAACGTAACAACCATTCAATTTTTTTAAAGGTTAGTTGATATAGTAACAAATATAATTATTGATTGAATATTTATCAATCATCTATATTTTGTTCGTAGTGTAAATTTTAAAAATGGAAGGTTTCATTAAAAATTAAAATCAATAGTAGGTTATGAAAATATTAGATAGTTATTATATCTTATTCAGAAATGTTTGAGTTGTTGGTGGTATATTATCATCTGAAGGATTCGCTAATAATTCATTGATTCTTGAATTATTAGAATGAATTCTTCTAATTAATTTTTGTCGAGGCTGATCAATTTGTCTTATCCATTACTATCACTGTAAAGTATTCAGTTTAGCTTTGCGATTACTTTAAGTAGAAAGCTTCAGGTTCATTAAAAATATGTACTAAGGATACAAAATTCAGGTTTAAAAAAATAGTCAAGTGGTAACAATTACTCAAAGATTTCTGAGAAGAAAAGGAACAAGATGCTAAACAACTGCTCACAAATACTTTATATTTTCTTATCATTTAAAATTCCGAAAAAGAAATCCGTCAAACTACCAGAAGTTCAAATGAAACTTTGAGTTCATATGAATATATCAATGAGTATGTTTAATGGACGTTTATTGGTGATAGAATTATGACAGTAATGACTAAGTTTATATTACAGCCAAGAATTAGTTACATTGAGAAACAGGAAAAATTAGATTTACGCCGTATCTCTCATCACAAACTGAGCTTCTAAGACCTTGAGTTATTGTATAAGCTTAAACAAACTATCAAGTGTACCCCTTGAAGTCACTCTGAATTTGCTGATCTGTCTTTATTTAGTCACTAATCAACAACTGTACTCTTATACTCTGTGTTGGTAGATATGGGAACTGAGCTACTACGATTATTAGCTTTTAACGTCCACAAGTTTGTAGGCCGTAATTTGATCCTCATGTTTAATTACCTTACTTAATCACCCACTCGTTTGTTTTGCTTTCAAAACGCAAACTAATCATAAAGAGAAACACTAGTACAGTACTGAAGCGGACAACCTTGAAACGAAGAAAGACCCGAAAAGCCTAACATCTTAAGGGGTTACATGAATATTTTTAACAATAAAAGTGGAGATAGAACAACTGTATTTCTACAGAACAGTAGCACTTTAGAAGAGATAAGCTCAGTGTCCCCTGAATCTTTTTAAGATGAAGTCTTTGTGATCTTAATTCATTTACCTATTGGATGGAGTACGCTTTTTTAAAATGCAAAAGTGGTTACATACACATAGTTCCCTTTATCATTTTGAAAAAAAAAACAAGAACGAAAATTCTAGTAGAATAGCATGAATTCATAATCATCTGAATAAAAGTTGTTAAATTTAAAAAAAACGACATAATAATGATATTACAAAATGTTTCCATAAAACAAGAAAAATGTAACAGATGAATTCCATTAGGCAGAACTATTTAACAAATAAAATATCCGAATTTGTAATAATAATGTTAAAACTTATTGTTAAGTTTGTTTTACATTGTTCCTATATGTTCCTTTTCTACTCTTTTGTATGTTGTTTTATACTACTTATTTACATTCAGTAGGCAGCTGTATACCCAACAATTTTCACACTTATGTTGTAACTCAAGTTGTACTGTAACATTCTGGAATGTTCACATATATCTTTAATGTTTATTTTACTTATAATTGTATTTATCATTATAATCACTGTAATTTAATTACTGTAAAGGTTATCCACAGTTTTATGCATTTGTTTGAATGCAACAGTTTCCATATTGTTTGCTCTTGGTTCGAGTTTCGGTTGTTCATAAACTGTTACCAAATTTAGACACAGCTATCGGCTGTCTTTGGACTATCGTATGTTGTAATCATTCTTTATGTTACTCTTACAGGAAGCCTTTGCTATTTTCATTCTTGAACGACGCGTTTAAACGCCTAGACACCTCACAAGTTGAGGTTTGTAACTAAATTTTGTGTATTATTTAATAAAGAACCGCTTTTGTAGACAAATCGTTGTTTTGGAACTTCGATTTTGCGCGTATCCCAATCGGGGTTATTTGGACGCTTCGATAGAATTAACAGTTCTCAACTTTGGTCTCATTTGGTGTGGATACAGTTCTGAACTTTAGTCCTAATTGGAGGGAATACTTGCTGTAACGAATTTGGTCGTAATCCTGTTTGGTTCATTCATCCCAACGATGACTAGAACGAGAAGAATGAAGTGCAACGATGACAGTTCCCAAGACACAGACAATTCCAGTGCTGAAAATATTATTCCTTCACTTTCTAAGGTGAATTCATCTATTCCTTTAAATCTTGCCTTTGATATTGTTAAACCTAACCCCAAAGACAGTTGCTCGGTAGGAGACAACTATGTAGACACTAGATACAGCGTAGAAGACGAAATGGTTTCTAGGGAAAGGGAAGTAGAAAAGATTAAGCTAGAGATTAGAGAACTCCAACTACGCAAGCGATTGTTAGAGCTAACTCCGAACTCTTCAAACAAAGTGAGAAGACCTAGGGAGACTACCGAGTTGTCGGGGTCTCGATCCGAGGATAAAACTTCAGTAGTTACAGCAAGTCACCGATACACCAATGTGCCTTCGAGCGATGAAATGCAATTCAAAGCACAGGTAGATAGTGTCAAGGCGCTATGTATGTCAGTAAGCTTACCGAAGATAGAAATCATGACATTTGACGGGAGCCCTCTGAAATTTTGGACGTTCATGAAGGGATTCAAGGTTAACATAGCTGACAGAGTAAATGATGACACTCAGAAATTAATGTACCTGATACACTATTGCGAAGGTATAGCAAAGGATGCTATAGAACACTGTTTTATTACCAGAAAAGGAAGGTTATACTGAGGCAATTAAAATTCTACATGAACGGTTCGGCAGACCACATGACATCGTGGATACCTATGCATTGTTAGATAATGGCTCAGACTCGACATTACTGCTTAGTGACGTGGCAAAGCAGGTAGGAATTTCTGGTACAGTGACAAGATTAAACATATCTTCGGTAATTGGAGCGTCATCTCAGAACGCTGAACTTACCAATTCCGAAATTGAGTCTTTAGATAAGGCCAACCGAATAAAAATCGAAGGTGCATATACTATAGATAACCTACCTATTAAAAGAGCAGAAATCCCACCAACGGACTTCCAAGAAAGATGGAAACACTTGAAAGGTGTACAACTACCCACCATAGCCTGTGACAAGGTTGGTTTGTTACTTGGTGTTGACGTTCCAGAGGCCCACTGGGTACTCGATCAGCGTATCGGAAAACCTAAACAACCCTATGCTTCACTAACCATATTAGGGTGGGCTTTATTTGGACCAACGGGTCAACTTAATAAAACTTCAGTCTTCATGAACTGTTTAAAAGCGAAAAATTCCTTTGAGGAGGATATTCTTAAATTATTTGAACAAGAATTTTCTGAAAATAAGTACTCTGATAAGGTTACCATGTCCCTATGTGATAAGACCATTATGGAGATTACTGACAAACAAACAGTATTGCTCGATGGACATTATCAAGTGCCGATACCCTGGAAGGTGGATTGGCACACACTTCCAAGGAATAAGCGCGAAATAGAAAAACGATTAATTTACCTACGTAAAACGTTGCTAAAAGACGAACAGCTTCGGAAACAGTATACTATTATATTAGCTACCCACGAAAGTAAAGGATATTTGTTTCGAGTAACTCAAGCTATCGAAGAAGAAAGGTATTTTATTCCACATCATCCCGTATTTAACCCTAAAAAACCAGTTAAAGTTCGGATAGTCTTTGATTGTGCTGCTAAGTTACAAAACAAGTCTCTAAATGATTGTATATATTCTGGACCAGATCTTACAAACGACCTAGTGGGAGTTTTGCTTAGATTCAGAAAGCATAAGATTGGATTGTCAGCAGACATTGAAGAAATGTTCCTCCAGGTACATCTACCCGAAAAGGATACAAAGGCCTTCAGCTTTTTATGGTACCCCGATGGCAATCTTGATTCTCCTCCTGAGGTCTATGAGTTGCATGTACACCCTTTCGGGGCTACGTCCTCACCGTTTTGCGCTACCTATGCTTTAAGACGCACAGCTACAGACCACCGAGATTTGTTCGATGAAAAAACACAGTCTACCTTACGAGAAAATTTTTATGTAGACGATTGTCTAGTCTCAGTAGAAACAATATCAGAAGCTGCTGAGTTAGCAAAGAACCTAGTGAGACTCGTGGCACTTGGAGGCTTCCGTTTACATAAATGGGTTAGTAACGTAAATGAAGCGCTGAATGACGTCCCTATAGGTGATAGATCAAACAATTCAGTTCGTATACCAGGTTCAACAGAACGTATACAGAGAACTTTAGGACTTTGTTGGCACACGCAATCCGATTGTTTTGCATTTGACGTAAATCTTCCCGAACGCCCGATCACTAAGAGAGGCATTCTATCATGTGCATCATCGTTATATGATCCGCTTGGATTTCTAGCGCCTTTATCACTTACCCCTAAACGAATTCTGCAACAGCTATGTCGTAAAAACTATGGGTGGGATGAGATGATAGATGAAGAGTCACGATTGAGTTGGGAAGGTTGTTTAGAAGCAAAGAGTTCTATCGAGGACGGACCCACGCCACCCTCTTCTTTGACCACAGTAGCGCCTGAAAACTCTCCAAATCGTTTGTTGCCGTTCATAGATGATCCTGGTTTATGCCTTAAACACTCTCCTGATGTGTCACTCTTAGTCGATGATGATGATGTACGCTTACTCATAGTAACAGCAGCCGCTGTTGAGACTGAAGATTCCAGAGTTCATCAAGGTTTACCGTCAGTTCGTTCTTTTGGATTTAACACTCCACCTGATTCAAGAAGTAACCGACTTATAGACACCTTTGATTCTGTATCTAAAGCGACAGACGAGAATTTAATGGATTTAGAACAAGTTATTTCATTACCAGCTGTTGACGATGAGTACCTTCTAAAAACTGCCAACGATCGTCATGTCGATACAGCAGTGAATATTGACCTTAGATGTATTTCTCCTCCAGACAAAATTCTTCTAACAGATAGCGGCGAGTTAATGTCATCGAAAACATCTGTTATGTTCTCTGCCGAAACAGATCTCCCTAGTGTTTCTGACGTGAACGATAGTGCTAAGTCTGTGATACTACTACACGAGTCATCAATTAGTTGCAAAGCAACAACAACTCATTTCTCTGCAAATACGAAACTTGTATCTCCTGTAGTGGCGTCTGCTGAGAGTTCTATTGACATCAAGCGTGAAACAGAGAATCAGAAAGATGATTGTTTTATTCAGTATGCTGATGATGATAAGAAGTTTAAGACAACTGTATCCATGTCTCCTTTAGTTGGGTTAGACAAGCAGACACAACATCCATTACCAGACTTTAAGGATAGTAGAGTAGCCGAAGAAATGACTCATCGGAACATAGAATGGCACCATAACACTCCTTACGCAAATCATCATCGAGTATGGGAAAGATTAATAGGAAGCATACGCAGACCTTTGAGCGCAGTATCTATGTCCTACGAGACACTCACCACCTGTTTGGCTGAAGCAGAAAGAATACCTAATGGTAGACCACTCTTACAGACGCGAACAAAATGGACACAAGGAAGACGAGATTTACAAGTTCGCGGTCCAGTCTTGATTATTGAGGACACTTATGCACGAAATAACTGGTCTAAAGGCCTCGTGGTAAGTTTTGACCCAGGAGGAGATGGTCTATGGAACCAAGCGAAGATCAGAACGTGGAAGGGTACAATTATTAGAGGCATATGTAAAATTTGTTTATAAGAAGGAGCTGATGACCGAAAAGTAGAGGATAGAGAGACTTTTCAGAGTGACTGTGGCTAGAGTAAATCGTACCATTGTCACCTCTGAATGTTTTTATGTTAATACCTAATCAGCGAAAGTAAGGAAAGACATGCTGTCTTTGGGGGGCGGTGTTAAGTTTGTTTTACATTGTTCCTATATGTTCCTTTTCTACTCTTTTGTATGTTGTTTTATACTACTTATTTACATTCAGTAGGCAGCTGTATACCCAACAATTTTCACACTTATGTTGTAACTCAAGTTGTACTGTAACATTCTGGAATGTTCACATATATCTTTAATGTTTATTTTACTTATAATTGTATTTATCATTATAATCACTGTAATTTAATTACTGTAAAGGTTATCCACAGTTTTATGCATTTGTTTGAATGCAACAGTTTCCATATTGTTTGCTCTTGGTTCGAGTTTCGGTTGTTCATAAACTGTTACCAAATTTAGACACAGCTATCGGCTGTCTTTGGACTATCGTATGTTGTAATCATTCTTTATGTTACTCTTACAGGAAGCCTTTGCTATTTTCATTCTTGAACGACGCGTTTAAACGCCTAGACACCTCACAAGTTGAGGTTTGTAACTAAATTTTGTGTATTATTTAATAAAGAACCGCTTTTGTAGACAAATCGTTGTTTTGGAACTTCGATTTTGCGCGTATCCCAATCGGGGTTATTTGGACGCTTCGATAGAATTAACACTTATTAAAATAACAATTAACACTTGCCTGACCAACAAGAACCAAGTTTTGTAGACTTCTTGATAATGAGCCACTTGATGATAGGCAATCAATTTTATTCTGCTGATATTTTCTTCGCATTAATTCGATTTGTTTAATTTCCTGAGAAAAACAAATAACAGTATAAATTGAATATGTAGATAAGAATGAATATACAAGTTACAAAAGTGGGGAACAACTAATTGATATCAAGTTGAGTGAATATAGATTATTGTACTACAAGATTATAGCAACCGATGGTTGAAGACTTTGAATGAAATGGCTCAAAATCGTTTGCAATTGAGCAGTTGCATCCACTCTTTGTGTTCGCCAAAATTCTAATCTTCTGAATTCTTCATGTCCCCATCTTTTTCTCTTTCCAAATTTATTTCATTGGATTATACTCCCTGAATAACATCTTCAAACCATAATCTCTCTGATTATTGGTTATACTCTTACTATCTTTACCACTAAGGGATTTGAATCGACAACTGCATCTCTGTGCTAATGTGGTATGGCAACTCGAACTGATGTACATACGTACGAAGTTCTACGTTGTTACTGACTGACTGAGTATAGATTATTATAATTGATGAAAAAGTGACATTAAATATTTCCTGAAAATCAAGATTCTGTAATCATGAAATTCATCTATTTTTGTTAAATTTCTTGGATTTTAGGAAACAATTATTCGATGGATATATATATTTTTTTAATAACGATCACTCCAAAATGTATGGTGTAGTGAACATCCAGTGTAAAATCATATAACTGGACAATGACCTTTGGTCTTCAATAATTTTATAGTTCGATAAGTAAATTGTTTATAGCTTCAAGTAAGTATTCAAATTAGGATGAAATCTTAACTATGTACATAGAGAAACTCAATACCTGGACGGTGGAGCAATTTCGTGGATTGGTTGAAGTTAGACATTAACACCAATAGACGGCAGCTTAGTGGTCTAGACATTAAGCTTTCGTGCGCGAGACTGAAGGTCCTGCGTTCAAATCCCGCGAGCGGGATAGTGGATGCGCACTGCAGAGGAGTCCTACAATAAGACGAAATGGTCGTCCACTGTTTCCAGGTTTCCCATGGTGGTTTGGTTTTAAATTGATTTATGAATTCAACTATTAAGTTACCTTGACAAACATTAAGCAATCAATGATATATTGACCGTAAGAATATTTCGGTTAAAACTAGATATTATTCTGACTGAATACATTTTCCGAAATACATGACTTTTTAGTTTAAAATAATGTATTTCTATTAAGGGAAATAAAAAAGTACTTTCCTATTTAAATGAACATATTTTGCAATTTTAAAGTAATATAATTTTACGTGATTTGCAAAACCATAGTATGTACTTGTTTAAATAAATGTTCAACTCAACTATTTTTTTTATTAAAAACCGTTATAGAATATTGATTAGTCTGGCATTACCTACCGTAGGTTGTAGTTTCTCAATTAGATATGAATACTTTTTAGATAAACTTGGTTCAAGGTTGACCAAATTTTGAAAAGTTCTAGGAGATGAATGAGAAGTTGAATTTCTGAAAATAAGAAAATTAAGTCCAATAAATCAAAGAAAACGACAAATCACCTTTTAATATTCTGTCTGAATATATTTTGATAATCAGACATATATTGTAAATAATTCAAAGTAGCTTAAATAACAATAATTGACCAAGATATATGTTGAATATTTAAATTTATTCACAGACAATTGAACAAATTTGTATGAGATAGAAATGTAACATCGTACCAACACAGATGAAAGAAATAATTAAGATGTATATCAAACGATTTAAAATAATGGTAATGTTATCGATGGAATAAAATAAAATTGAACTTCAGATAGTTCGAAATGATCAACGAAATACTGAAATAATAATAGTATAACTGAAAATTTATGATAGGATAAATAATAAATATATTTGTTTCCTTGTAGCTTCGAAAGTGACAAAATGCTTAATAGAAATAAATACATGAATATGATAAGTTCCCAATTTCACGGTTACAATATGTTGAGACTCTTACAGTCTATAAAGGCAATGTATCTGCCACTCACCGTTTACTTTTACAGAAAAATTCTATACTAGTTTGCTTATTTCTTAATTGTTCAAGATGAGGAGTAATTATTTATCAGCATATTATTAGTAACAGATATTTATCCTTTCATAAATTAAGATCAAATTACCACTCAAATCGTTCAAATTCAGATGTTCAAGTCCTAATGTAGTAACTAATCTAAAGTAATTCTACCCCACGATGCATTTTATTTCATGTTATATTGTTGTGGATAAGTACTACTTTGTACCGATCAATATGGTGAAGGATACTAACTCCCTTGAGCGTGTCCAGCGTGTGGGAACGAAATTAGTGAAAAGTCTTTCTAGACTCCCTTACGATGAGCGTTTAAAACGCCTAAATCTTTTCCCCTTGTCGTATCGTAGGACACGAGGTGACCTTATACTGGCATTTCGTATCTTTAATTATGATTTGGGTGTTAATATGTCTTATTTTTTTTCTCCCTGCAGCACTAATAATCTCCGCGGTCATAGCAAGAAGGTTCATAAACCAATTCTCATAAACTTAAAGTGGGGTCTCGTTTTTCTCATCGAGTAGTCAATCATTGGAACGCCTTACCCGAACAAGTGGTATCAGCCCCATCAGTTAATACTTTCAAGGAAAAGCTGGACCTTCACTGGAAAGCAATGTGTCAGGATTAACACAGGTTCATCAACCTACTATCTTTATTACTGAAGACTGAATATTACTTATCTATAATCTTGAAATTAATAACGAGGTATTTATGTTTGTTAAGATTCTCGAAATAAGACAGGGCTTTCTAATTTTACTCACTACAGAAACTAAAAAACATTAGCTTCCAATTTAGCTTTTGAATGTTTCCCTTCAGTAACTTTCATTTCATATCCATACAGTTTTCCTCTGGCTAATCTTTCATTGATAATAAAATCACTCATTTAAGATGAGTTTTCGGAATGTGTTATCAAACCATTTCAACGGATCAATCCATTAGAGGGGAATCAGTTGAAATAGAAATCTCTTCATCAACAACACACTCGCGTCACTTGGAGTCAGATGAAGGTTAAATACCAAATACGAAGTTCTACGTATCAAACCTGAAATTCTAAAGAATATTATTGTTAATCGCTAAGAAAAGCATACATCTCAAGTAAATAATCCTTATGCAGTAATGCTTGGAAATAAAAGTTTCCAGAAACTACCTCTTGGTGTTTTCGCCACAGATTAAATGAGGTATTAGTCAATCCAGTGGCAATTTCTTACAATTAAAGCTAACCGGTCACAAATTTATGGGCTCTTTTTAGTTAATATGAAGTGCAATTAAATTTCGTTATTTCTATTTAGAGATTGAATTCGACTAGACAAAAGTGATAGATAAAAACATATGAATCATTTTATTCTAGCCATTAAAAAGATCTGCTTGAACTAAACAACACAAAACAAATTTTCAAACTTAGCATTACTGTATGAATCAGTTATAAACATCTAAACATTCGAACTCGTTCAAATATCGAGTAGAATAGAACCACATTTGAGAGCTGTAATCCAATCCGCTCTAACTAATAGTACACTATACAACCAGAATAATTCACGTTTCTATAATGACAGTTATGAAATGTTTGTGCCTTTTGACTGTAGGTAGATATAATAGCAGTAATGTATGATGAATAATTAATACATTTACGGTACAAGTAAATGTTTCATGTTGTGTTTTAATCTATTATAACCATGCAATACAACTCCACTCTGCCTACATCTAATTTTTTGTTTGTTTCTCCGAAGTTATAGCTTATTTAGAATGAGTAGCTTTTCTCTAGACTATTTTAAATTCACAGAATTCTTTTAATATGGAGGCTTTGATCACTAGTGAACCATCAAACAGCAGCTTTTGTGAAACGTTTGGACTCTGAGTTAATACGATTCGCTAAAGTTGTGTAATTTTTTGCGAGCGCGAAACAGAAGGAATAGTAGTATTTTTCTTCGTTGAATAAACCTTTTAGTATTGATTGTAACCCAAGGTGAAAAGGTTTTTTTGTATTTATTCCAGTCGGATTTTTCAGTTACAGTAAAATATAAGTCTCAGCTTTTTGCGTTCAGTGTCTATCACCTTTGAGACCTTAAAAACACTTATTCTAGAGATCAGGTTTCCTGTTTGTTTATTTTCTTTGAGCTTTAGGAGATTTCCTTTTCTTGTTCTCTCTGTGAGATCACTAAAGTTTTAATGGTGCAAGTAAAACATCATTGTGGTAGACCCGCATGCTTTTTACCGGTCGAGGATGGAATGCAATGTGACAACTGTGACACGTGATATCATAACGTGTGCACAGGACTCACATTGGCTGTAAATAAAAGGTGAATCTAGTCACCATCACGTTGGTTGTGCAGAGCATGTTGCTCTACAAAATCTCTGCTAATTCTTGAGGCGATCGAGCTGCTAAACATACCCAGAAAGATGCCCTCAGATAAATAGCCAGCAGCAGATGAACAGTTTTCAGTTTTCGAGGGAGCAGTGAGCGTTATCATGAGTCCGGCTATGAACTTGAATGAAACCGTCAAGGTGGACACTAATAACGCAGAGGATAACAAAAACACAGATGTGGGAATGGTTACAAGAAAAATGAAAAATCATGCTGAGAAGAAACAAATTATAGGGAGCCCTAAGATATGTGAGTCGACGGTTTCAGCTCCGGATTCACATATCAACGCAAAACAGACTATGGAGGAGTAAAGCCTAAGTGGTGTAGATGATGTCAGTCGGTCAGCTAAAACGTAGGGTCGGTCACATATATACATCGTTCTAAGTTGCCATACCTAGTTAGCACGAAACATTAACACTAAATTCATAGAAGTAGTCACTTCAATAGCAGTAATGTGTAAAAGAAAGATTGTGTATAAGAATATAGTACAGGAAGAAAGAAGTAGTTGGTAGAAAGAAAGATATGAAACAAGTTTAATCTTACGGTTTAAGTAAAGACAAAGTGTGTACATACCGACGCCATTGTTATTGATTCGGAGCCATATCATCGAGAGTCTTTAACTAATGGTTGCGATAGTCACGTGGACCCCAACCAAGTAGTCTGCATCTACCAACAAGGCTATGACTAGAAGTTAGTGACATTACAGATTGATGCCACGTTTTTGTTTGGCCACCCCAATTTTTTTCCAACCGTCTCCAACACCTGTTAGCATTGCGCGTCGTCGTAAACGGTGCTCAGACATAGGTAACACGCGGTCCAACCATCTCAGTCGATGAAGATTGGCCTATAGTTATACCCAGAAAAGAAAACGGAAGGATTCAGAGCGAGACATTCGCGTCTGACTCTGAATTGGACTGCAGGGATAGGCAGATTTTAAGAAATGAAACTCCACAACTTGTTAGCACGAACCTCGCTGACAGGTCAGTCATTTTCTTAAGCAGCCAAAGGCTAGATGTAAACACAGCCTCAGCTACATTAAGTCCTTAATAAGCAAACTACTTCCAGAAACAGTAGCAGGAGTTAACATCCATGAGCTATACAGAATAAGACAAAAATTGGATTCTGTAAGTACCCAGAAAAGCCGCCTCTTAAAAGTTACCTTTGCTTCTGCTGAGGGATGAAACTCAATGCTGAAAAATTGATGAGAACTGACTGGACCCGGAATATATGTCCGTGAGGATTGCAGTCTGGTTGGTCATATTAAGAGACGATCGGCAAAGGTAAAAATAAATGAGCGCCACCGGAACGGAGAACTCCACCTGGAGCCCCTCTGCGTTGCCGGTCACGAGCCCGGATAAATGAGGAGGGTTGGGCATGCGGTCAGCAACCCTATCCCGTAAAAAATTAACTCGCTATATAAACGCTAACCAGAAAAAAATAACTCAAACAGTTTAAACTCTGCCCTTGGAGTTAGAAAGTCTTCATTTAGAAGAGTTATGATACCACATGGTGAAAGCCGAGTTCCTTCGGAAGTTACGAGGCTGATGCCCTTTCTGACAATCAGAGTAACCATTAATTTAGGTGCATGGAATGCTCGTACAGTGTCGGAGACCGGAAGAGTCATCCGAATTGCTACAGAAACACAGTGGAAGCAGGTTGGACAATAACGACTAGCTTCAGGAAAGCTGCTGTTATACTCCGTCCATAAAAATGAAGATGCTCCACACACACAAGGAGTTGCACTGATGCTATCAAAACAAGCACAAAATGCACTTATAGGATGGGAATTTCATGGGCCGAGAATCATCAAAGCTTCGTTCAAAACAAAGAAAGAGGACATTAAAATGGGCGTCATCCAATGTTGTGCGCCTAACAACAACAACAATGAAGACGTTGAAGATCAATTCTATGATAGGTTGTAGTCAATCGTCGAGAAGTGCCAACAAAATACTTGACCATACTGATGGTAGACCTAAATGCCAAGGTCGGAATATACAACATCGGATATTAAGACATGGTGGGACGACATGGACTAGAGAAGGGGACGAAAATGTGCCTTTAATAAACTGGTTATAAACAGCGCTATATTCCCACACAAACACATACACAAAACCACATGAACTTACCGGGTCACATTACACAGAACCAAATCAACCATACCTACACCAACATAAAGTTCAGGAGGACAGTGGAGGATGTGAGAGCCAATAGAGGGGCTGACATAGCATTAGATCATCATCTGCTGGTCGCCAGGATGAAACTGATACTTAAGAAGCACTGGACAACGGGGCGAATAACATCACGACAGTTTAATATGACTGTTATTCGGGATACTGACCAACTAAACAAATCCAAGATAGCCCTCAGCAATAGATTCCAGGCCTTTCATCATCTACTTAATGGAGAGAGAACTACTATGGAAAACAACTAGAAAGGGATAAAAGGGGCAATAATTTCGACATGTCATGAGGTTCTGTTCCACAATAATCACCATCATAAGGAATGCATCATTGTTGATACACTGGATAAGATTCAGAAGAGGAGGAAAAAGAAGACAGCAATCAATACCAACCGAACAAGAGCAGAAAAAGCCAAGGCACAAGCTGGATACACAGAAGTAAACAAGCAAAAGAAGAGGAGCATCAGGACTCACAAACGTAAATATGTGGAGGACTTAAAAATGACAGTGAAAAAGGCTGTAAAAGAAGGAAACATTAGACAATTGTATGACACAATAATGAAAATCACTGGAAATTATCGTAAACCAGAACGACCAGTCAAGGTATTTCTACTGTGTTGGGCGGAAACCCGGAGAACTACGAAAGCCATCATCCAGAAGATACAAGCGTTTATTAACAGTTTTTTATGCAAAATACTTCGGATCCGTTGGCCAGACATTATCAGCAACAACCTAGTGTGAGAGAGAACAAACCAGATTCCAGTGGAGGAAGAAATCAGGAGGCGGTGCTGGAAGTGGATAGAACGCACATTGAGGAAAGCACTCAACTGCGTCTTAAGACAAGCTCTGACATGGAATCCTCAAGGCCAAAGGAAAAGAGGAAGACCAAATAACACATTACGCCGAGAAACGTAGAGAGACATGAGAATAATGGAGAAAAATCGGATAGAACGGGAAAGGAAGGCCCAGGACAGAGTGGGTTAGAGAGTGCTGGCTGGCGGCCAGCGCAAATAAGTAATTGAAACGGTGAAAAAACCTTATGCATAAGCGTTTTCATATGGTAATATTCTGGAACAAAACAACCCCAAAACCACTATGGGCGGCAACGTGAAGCTCTTCACAGAATTAAAGGTGTGCTACACAAATACTCACAGCCTACATAATGTAATTACGGAGCTCAAAACTATGATGAATACAGAATACCGTGATGTCATTCCCATCTCAGAGGCATGGTTAACGTCAGAAGTGTATGGTAGTAGGATTGATGGACTAAACTGTAGGAATGGTGGGGTTATTCTGGACACGAAAAGTACCTTAACCATTCGAGCTATCAAGGCAGTGGCATACGACTCAGGTACATGTAAACTGGTGTGCTGTAGGATAAAATGTAAACGGCATGGTGTTGAACTAGTTGTAGTATACCGCAGTCCAGAATGTGTAGTGGATGACTTCCTCCTAAGCAAACTTAAATCCTTGTGTAACAGGGGTGAGAGCCTTATAGTAGGTGACTTTAATGCACAGTTTATAAATTGCGGAAACATAAGAGTAGGGTCATCAACAGTATCATTTGGATGTAAATTGTTAGAAACCACAACCCTCCTAGCTATATTCCAGAGCATTAGAGATCCCACGAGATATGACCTACAAAACTCCTCATCTCTCTTGAACTTAATCTTCACACACGGTGATGATCCGTCAAATAACTTTTCTCCTACCTTTGGGGAGGAGCGGTCATGCGGCCATCTTACACAAGTTCGTGACTGAGATGGTCTGTCAAGCAGTTTTACCAACCCGTCCTAACATATGAAAGACAGACACCAAGGTGATCAACTCTTCAGCCTCGGCTGAAAACTGGATAGTTAACTCAGGGGCAACAGTAGAACAAACATGGACTCATTTCCGGCAGTTATACAATCAAGTTACTCAACCATTTATACACTGGATAGTCCCAAAGAAGAAGTATGGCTATTCCTGGATATGCCTGGATATTCGACGTTTACTAAAACAAAAGAAGAAATGTTGGAACATCTCCACCAGTCTTGGCACAGCAAGTACGATGGAGCACTACAGGTCGGTACAAAATAAGTGTAAAATTACAATCCAGGGAGCTCAGTAAAAATATGAAAAACAGTTGGCCTAACCTGTAACCAAGCAGCCTAAGAGACTATTCTCGTACATAAAATTCTACGGAATAAGGACGCAGCATGGGATTCCTAACCTAATTAAGGAAGGACGTGGACCTCAACAGATGGAGTATGATCAGGAAAAGATAGAGGCTATAGCAAACTATTTCGGGACAGTCTTCTCTCAGGAGCCTCTTCTAAACGAAAAACTAGACCCAAATATAAAGTCAAAAAATTGTCTGCCTCAGTAAAATTACTGAGAAATATTTTTTTTAAACATTAGAAATCATGTAAGCTACCATAAACTAAGGAGAATTCCATTACTTTGACCAGTAAAATCCTAACGCATGTGATAGCACAACTTACATCCCAATTTCTAATATATCTCAAAACCATAAACTATTTTCCAATAGGAGTTGTAGAGAATAAAATGGAAGTTTTAGTACCCGAATTACAGCATGAAGATTTTTAGGTTATTGTTTTGAAAGTTACAATAAAACATCCGTTGTGTAGTGCATCCAGGTATTTCAATTTTTTCCTCTTTGAAAACCAAAGGTTTGAGGTACTTTTGATGCTTCTTAAAATTACTCAGTCATAGACAATGTATTCTCTTAGCGTGGACAGGAATCGATTTCAATCGTTATAGGAAACTTAAGCATTAAAGAACAATACACAACTATGTAAACCATCAACCGTCTCACCTTCCACTGTGTGAAATTCCATTTTCATCTAAACTTCCACAGTTATTTGATTAAGTACTTAAGACTCACCACCCATAATATGAGTTTCGCCACGATCATTTGGACAGTCAGCATGTACTAACTTCCACCTTTCTATTCTAGCCTTCACAAGCTTATCTAAACAAAATAAAACATATAATAGGAATACCTCTTCTCTTTTCTTCACTTCTTATGTACAATTCCTCAATTTTGCTTGGTGGAAGTTTTTTAAAACGTTCAAGGAACTCAGCTCTGCTTTTGTGCAAAAGATCCACAGGCTAAAAAATATCAAATATAATGACTTAAATTACGAGTATCTTTAAACGTGAACAAGCTTCTAGTGATCTCGGACTGGTTAGGACATACTTAGAGTCTGTAAACTGGGGATCTTCAAAGTTTTCTAGATCTATTCGAGATATGTTTTCGTTGTTTGACATCAATTTTGAATTGAGGAGAAAACTGAGGAAAAATGCACTGAATACGACTTATCAATAACAAACCACTCTTTATTTGTGAAAACTTCGAACCTGTTACCGCGTCCGTGACAACCAATTCGAAAAATACCAGTGACCTTAAGAATTGTTTTAAATATTTTATCCACATAGCAGTCACTTATAAAATATTTGGAATATTAGAACTCACGTTCTGTTTTAGGCGAGACTTTTGACTGAAGTGAGCATAAACACTCTGTTTCAATGTCAAATGTTCACTTTCAGTACATTTAGTGTTCTGTAAACAAATATAAGATGAACTGACACTTGAAAGAGGAATTAAATAGTAGAAGAGGAAAACGAGATATATCGCGGGGTGTGTACATGATTATGCTAACGAGAGCAATAAATTTTTACCTTGTACCGGTAAATAAGTCCCCAAAATAAATAGCTCTGTAAGTTTTCGACACTGGATGCTGACCAGATTAGTTTTAGTGGACTCACCTAGCTGAAGGCGCTCGGTCATGCATCCGCACCAGATCACGTGTGGAAACGCCGTGCTCAACATCTACTGCAATCGCTAGCCAGACTAGATCAGACAATTACGATATATTGGCAATCGTCAAATACAACTTCTGATCTCCTCGATTCTGTCTTTTGATTTCTCTTGGCGGGTACGAGTTATATTAGAAGGTGTTACTAGTAAAAGCGTTGACAAACACTGAATACCTGTGCCATCTTCAACCTCATATATTCGTTGCATTTGATGTTGACTTGTTTGAGTATTCGCCAAACGCTCTTAATTTCAATAAGCATAACTATGAAATCGGCACGTGTGCGATCATTACTCGTTTATACGGATCACCGCATGTTCTAATTATTCCACCATTGCATGCACTTTCATTTATATAAAAAACATTACATGATTTCTAGCCACAAAATTATCTTCCTGGAATTTCTTCTTCAGGTTTGTATGTTTCCCAGTATTTCGTATTCGTTAAGAAAACTAGTTGCTGCGTTAACTGTTAGTATTCCTAATTGTGGCATGTAATGTTCTGGAACTCTCTCTTTTCATGAGCAAAGTATGCAAGATATGTTTGCCTTTGTGTAAACTCTCTGTTTTTACATACGAGCCTTTTAGATGCATCTGAACAAACTACAACTGCTTATATAAACTTTTGACACAATAAATAATGTAAAGATGTCACAGGTATTCGTAGTTTGGCATCGCCTTTACATGTTATACTCTTAAAATTGAAGTATACGAACCCGGTAAATCAGAAGTCAGAAATGAAGGAGTTCAAATATATATTTGGAAAGCTATCGATAAGTCGAAAAGCGTCTGGTCTAAGCTGACCAGCAGTTACAAGGGATGAGTAGTACGGCCTACACACTTGTGATGCGGCGTAGACGCGTGACCGAGCGCCATCAGCTAGATGTGTCCAGTAAAACTAATGCGGTCAGCATCAGTGTCGAAGACCCACAGAACTATTTATTTTGTGTTTTTTAGCAGTACAAGTGTTATTTTTCATCACCAGTATATATGGGTTGCATGCAACTGATCAGCTACGTTTTCTACTCATCTAATGTTGACTAGTGTATGTAACAACATTCGTCACACGGCTGGGAGTAAATTTCACGTTTACGAGTTACCTAAGTGTATCGTAGAGTGTACCAACATAAAGGAATGAGTGGATAGTTGTCCCTATCTTTAAAAAGGGTTCACGTCGTTCCTGTAACAACTATCGGGGGATAAGTCTACTTCCGATTGCGTCCAAATTATTGGCTTCCGTCATACTTCGTAGGTTGTTCAAAACCCGAGAAAGATTGACTCGCGAGGAGCAGGCTGGGTTTCGTTCTTGTCGAGGATGTATTGATCGTATCTTTACCCTCCGCCAAATGTTAGAACACCGCCATACTTATCAAAGGCCAACAATCGTAGTGTATCTTGACATCAGGGCTGCCTTCGATTCGTTGGATAGGACTGTTCTCTGGGATTGTCTATTGAAGAAGGGTGTGTCTGAGAAGTCTACTGACATCTTAAAAGCCCTATATACAAACACCTCCGGCAGAGTGAGGGCATACAACCACCTCTCTCCATTGTTCCATTCGAGCAGTGGGGTTAGGCAGGGTTGCCCAATCTCACCATTCCTCTTCAATTTTGCCATCGATGACATTCTGGAAACAGCTCTGATGAATGTAAGTAATGGTGGTGTGGATCTGTTGCCTGGAGAAAGACTTCTCGACCTTGAGTATGCGGACGATATTGTCTTACTGTGCGATAATGCCCAAGCCATACAATCCGCACTTAATCAGTTGGTAATCAACGTCCGTAGGTACGGCATGTGCTTTGCACCTTCGAAGTGCAAAGTACTTCTACAAGACTGGCAGGACCCTGATCCTACACTCACCCTGGGTAGTGAGCAGATAGAAGTAGTCGAGAAGTTCGTGTATCTGGGTAGCTGCATAAGTGCTGGTGGGGGTGTGAGTGATGAGATCAATGCACGTATAGTGAAAGCCAGAGCGGCTTATGCCAATCTGGGCCACCTTTGGCGCCTTCGTGATGTTAGTCTGGCTGTAAAAGATCGGATCTACAACGCGTCGGTGAGAGAAGTTTTGCTCTATGCTTGTGAAACCTGGCCTCTCTGAGTCGAGGATGTTAGACGACTCTCTGTGTTTGATCATCGCTGTCTCCAAAGGATTGCTGAAATTCAGTGGCAACACCATGTTAGTAATGCAGAGGTTCGGCATCGTGTGTTCGGGCACAGAGATGATAATTCAATTGGTGTCACCATCTTGAAACACCGACTTCGGTGGCTTGGACATGTTCTACGAATGTCGTCCCAGAGAATTCCACGTCGTGCATTATTTGCCGACTATGGGACTGGTTGGAAGAAGCGGAGAGGTGGTCAGTATATGACATGGTGTCGTGGTATGAAAGAAAGCTGTACAGGACTGGCTTCTGTCTGTCCTTCACGACTCTCTGGTTGGGGTCTGAGAGATGGTGCTACACAGTGGCTAGAGACGTTATCAGATATGGCTCAGAATAGAAGCCAGTGGCGATCCTGCTGTAACCTTCTTTTACTTTCTTCATAAAAAGTGGTTGTGTCTTCCTTAACTGAAGGGTTTCTCCTGATTGTACCTTTCCGTTCCCACATTATTACCACTATTATTATTACACTACCTTACACCAATCCCTCCGTTATTGTTCTCTTTTTTACCCTCCTTAACTTTTTTTGTTTTTCCTTCTCTTTAAATTCTCATTGTTTTGTGTAACGCATATATATTTGGCGCACTCTTGTACCAATTTTTGTGTGTTTAAATAAAATAAAATAAATCGTATTCAGCAGTAACGGTATTTTATTCGCCTATTTAGCTTGTCGGTTCTAGATATTTTCGAATAATTTAGACTGTATGAATGACATTCTCTATGTTGTATTTTTCTTCCGTCGTGGCTGAGTGCACTACACTGCCATGATGGAATGGCGTTTCCATCATAGAAAACTTTTCATTTTTCCCATCAGCCAGCAAAACTGACAAAGAACGAAACACTCCCTTCAATATTCATGATCAGTTTTCAGTCTTCAGTCTTCAATAATAAGGATAGTAGGTTGATGAACCTGTGTTAATCCTGACACATTGCTTTCCAGTGAAGGTCCAGCTTTTCCTTGAAAGTATTAACTGATGGGGCTGATACCACTTGTTCGGGTAAGGCGTTCCAATGATTGACTACTCGATGAGAAAAACGAGACCCCACTTTAAGTTTATGAGAATTGGTTTATGAACCTTCTTGCTATGACCGCGGAGATTATTAGTGCTGCAGGGAGAAAAAAAATAAGACATATTAACACCCAAATCATAATTAAAGATACGAAATGCCAGTATAAGGTCACCTCGTGTCCTACGATACGACAAGGGGAAAAGATTTAGGCGTTTTAAACGCTCATCGTAAGGGAGTCTAGAAAGACTTTTCACTAATTTCGTTCCCACACGCTGGACACGCTCAAGGGAGTTGGTATATTTTACCAGACACGGGCTAGCTGCTTTAGTACAGTACTCTAAGTGTGGTCTTACATAGGTGGGATATAAAATTCGAAAGGTTTCCTCGTCAAAAGATTTGAACGCTCGGCGAAGTGACCATAACGCACGAAAACTTTTGACAGCAGCTGCTTTGCAATGCGTAGTTGTTTTTAAATCATGACTTAATACTACTTCTAAGTCTTTATGCTTTTGAACGCATGGGAGAGGTTTACCCTAAATGGTGTAACGGTAACTATTACCGTGACCGACGTACATTAGCACACTCTTCCTAGCATTGATTTCTAAGCCTTACTCTCGAGCCCATCTAACTAAATCGTCTAAGTCAGCTTGAAGATCCAGATGATCAGCCGCTCTTCTTATTGTTCTCCAGATTTTTACATCATCCGCAAACAATAATGTCGACAACCTAAGTAACAGCGGTAACTCATTAACGTAGAGAAGGAAGAGCAGAGGGTCTAAGATGGTGCCTTGGGGTACACCACATTTGACCGGCTTCCAATCGGATAGCGTTCCGTTGACCCTCACTCTCTGTCTGCGGTCACATAAGAAATTTCCTATCCACTCATGTACATTACTTATTATTCCGAAGCTCGTGAGCTTCTGCATAAGACCTACGTGTGAAACCTTGTCAAATGCTTTGCTAAAATCTATGAATATCACATCGACCGACAGACCGTTATCTAGGGCTGCTGTCCAATCCTCCCTCGCAATAAACTAGTTAGTCAAGCATGAACGCTTGTTACGAAATCCGTGTTGCTCAGGAGCTAACAGATTGTGTAAATCTATGTGGTTTAGCAACCTAACCCGAATTGTCTTTTCAAGTAACTTAACGACTATGCTAGTTAGACTGACAGGCCGGTAGTTAGATACTATCTGTCTCTGACCGTCCTTAAATATAGGACTGACTATAGCGTCCTCCCAATCTCTAGAGAGTTGAGCGAGTGAAAGGGACATGTTGAAGAGTGTCGCGAGCGGTTTTGAAATAATGTCCGCAAGAGATGACAGCAACCGTGGACGTAACCTGTCAGGGCTCGGTGTCTTACCAGGTTTGAGGTTTGTTATCAACGGAAGGACAGTTTCCTCAGTCAC